TGCTGCTTCTCACTCTCCCAGTTCTCCCGACTTGGGACAGATAGCCCCGTGGCAGGGAAAGGCGAAGGGGCGTGCACCAACTTCAAACACGTACTGATTTCGAGCTGCCGCTGGATTCGCCCTTTACTGCGTTCACGGAAGTCCACCTGAGCCTCGTTGTATTTGGTCATCACCTCCACAAACTTCCGGGACAGGACGGAGTGCTGTGGGAACCATGCCAAGTGCAGTGAGCCCCCAGGGGCTGATGGCCAGGGACCCCACACTGTTATAGAGCCCACACCCCCGGCCCCATATGCCCAGTCTGTGGCAGCACTGGACTTGGAAGCAAAAGACCAGGTATGAGACTCAACTTCCTGCTTTCCTAACTTCACACCATCAGGAGAGTCTGCTGACCTCTCCAAGGCATGTGTTCAGCATCTGTTCACCTGCCTTCCTGACCTCACACGGTAATCCTGGGGCCAAAGGAGAGCCCTGCATCCACACAACTAGCTGTGTTTTACTGGCACAACCCTTGGCTTGCTTTCTAAAGCTGCCAGACTCCCTTCCAAATCCAACACCTGCCAAAATCCTTGAGTTCTTACCCAACCTGACCTTCCTAACTTCCCTTGCTTATAACTCAATGCATCTGCTCAAGAGCCCCCTGTGCCTGTGTTCCAATCTTCACCATTATTTTTATTCCTTGCCCACCTCTCCACGTCAAGGCCTACTGGCTTCTCCTTTGCAAAATCACCGGTATTTGTACCCTTTCCAAACCCACTAGCAGCACGCACATTCAAACCAAAGTCATTGCAAAAACCCAGCAAGAGACCCCCACCTGCCTCTCGCCCGTCCCCCACTCTGGTCCAGCTTTCAGGAGGCCCCCAGACTATCTCCTAACAGACTGCAAGCTGAAGTAAATGTACACAGGCCACCTGATCCTATCCAGGTTCCCCAGATAGGTATTCAAAGATCTCTGGAGTACAGCACTACATTCTCGATCAAAATTCAATGGCCACTAGCCCACAGCCAGCTTTTCTCTCCAGACAGGCTATTCTCTCCATGCCAGCCCCTCACCCTTGCCCCACCCCCATCAGTACCACTGCTGCTACTAACACACCCCGCTCCTATCCCCAGGCCTCTTAGGGGAACCTCTCGACCCCTGAGCCTGTCCAAGTTGCCACGCTTGCCCATCCAAGGCCCAGCCCCCTCTGGCTACCCCCAATTCTTCCCGAGCTCTGTGAATGCGGAGAGCACCGTGCACTTCATTGAGTCTTCCTACACTGCTCTCCTGTTAGGTCCCATGTGATAGCATCCTTCTGCCACTTGAACATGACTGCCAGTTCTTTGAGGACACGGATCGTATCTTTGATGACCACCAGAGAGCCTAACTCCAACTGGACAACTAATGACAACAGTCTTCAGAGAGACCTCTGTCTCCTCCTGAGTAAAACAGGAGGCACACAAACTCTGAAGCTGTGCCCTAGAGGAACCTTGGGAAGTTCTTCATGGGCCTCCTTAGAGAAGCAGAGGGTGACAGAAGGGCCAAAAGGGCTGAACTCCGGCCCCTCTCCTGCTTCGGCCTGGGCAGCTCTCCTTTACCAGTTCTTCCAAATGAGTCCAAATAAGAATCGTACTTTACAAAAGAAAAAAAAAAAAAAAGACTCCACAGCTAACAACAACAACAACAAAAAATTAAGACTGGACGACATGACCAGGGAAATCTTACCTGGGATTTCCGAATCCGAAGGTCGGCCGATGACCGGACCTCATCTTCCTCGATGTGCCTCTCCATACCTACAGAGCAGAGCGAGGTTATTCCAGCAACACATCACTGCTCTCCTCCAAAAAGCACATGGCTCAGTGCCAGGCCCCCCGCACACGCTCCCGCACCCAGCCCACGGAGAGATACAACAGGCTTCTACAGTCTCGACACATCAGCTCCCGAGTGAGCCACGGGCCTCACGTTCCACGCCCTTTACTGTACCAGGTCCTGTCTGACTGCGACTGAGCACAGCGGCTAACAGCAAGTCTCCGTCACCAGGAGGCTCGGGCTCAAATCCCTGCACTGCCACTCACTAGCTGTGTGACTTTGGGAAGGCCACGTCACCTTGGTGCTCCTGTTCCCTCATGTGCTGAATGGAGCGGGGACAGCCCCTCCCTCACCACGTGAGCAGGGAATGAGAATGCACACCATGCCCCACACACTCTCACAGCTACTCCCGGAAGCTGCCCCGAACCACCTCCACCTCTGCCCCGAAGCACCTCCACCTCTGCCCATGACAACAGGTATTGTGATTCATTTTGGGGGAAGAAATGATGAATGCCGCCTCCACCCTCTGATCAACAGTCTGCATTCCCAAACCAACTGGGCAAAAATGCAGTTGGAACAAAGAGACCTTTTGGGCCCCAGGGGAACTCAGTCTATGACCTCGCCTCACTGAACAAAGGTCTAAACTGAAGGGGTGGAGACCTGGCCCCCCAAGAACTATCTGCAGACTGAATAATAATATGTCCTGCACCGAATAGCTCCAGCATTAGTGTTCACACGGACGTAGGGCTGGGAAACAGGACCAGTAAGAGAAAAGTCAAGGGACCAAGTTAAAACACCGAGTCGCACGGCTCGGCAGCCGGCAGCACACTTTGGTTCTGCGCTCTTTCAGTTGCAGTCCTGCTTCCAGGACAGGCAAGATTTCAGGGGCAGTGCCCAACTACAAGCAAAAATGGGACGAGCGTATCATCTGGATGAGTTTCAGTCCAGAAGAGCCGGGCCCCGCAGACGGGGGCGCCGCGGATGGGAGGCGGCTGGTGGTGGGGCTGGCTTGTTGCCGTTGTTCCCTTCTTACTCTTCAGTTTGTTCCGGACGTTGTTGGCCCTCTTCTTGATCTCGGTCGTGAGCTGCTCTAGGTCATCCTTGGTTTCTGGGTAAACAAAGGCAAGCAGAATCACCTAGAAAAACTAATTGCTCTGTGAGCCTCACCAAGCAAGAGGAGGTGGGAGCTTTCTCAGGTACCCACCACCCACAGCAGTATTTATCCTGAGGTACTCCCCAGACATCTGTCCTTAGAATCACAGACAGCTTAATTAATAAGCACTTTTCTAGGCACCCCAGTCCCAGACCTACAGAATAAAAACACCCAGTTGGAACCCTACAATCTGTCTTTTTAACAAGCTTTCCCAATGTTTATTGCAGCAATGTCCACAAAAGCCAAAATATGGAAAGAGCCCAGATGTCCAACCACAGAGGAATGGATAAAGAAGAGGTGGTCTATATAGACAATGGAATACTACTCAGCCGTCATAAAGGGTGAAATCTTGCCATTTGCAACAACATGGATGGATCTAGAGGGTATTATGCTTAGCAAAATAAGTCAGAGAAAGATAAATACCATATGATTTTACCCGTATGTGGAATTTAAGAAAGAAAACAGATGAACATAGGGGAAGGGAAGGAAAAATAAGATAAAAACAGAGAAAGAGGCAAACCATAAGAGACTCAACTCTAGGGAACAAACTGAGGGTTGCTGGAGGGGAGGTAAGGAGAGCACTTGATGTAATGAGCCGTGGGTGTCATATGCAACTGAAGAATCACTAAACTCTACCCTGAACCTAAAAATACACTATATGTTAACTAACTTTAAGTTGAATTTAAAAAAAAAAAAAAAAAAAAAGCTTTCCCAAGTAATCCTCTGGCACACAAAATTATGAGAACCTTGCTTTTAGAGAAAATCATCTGGTTTACCATGATGGCTTCAGCTCAAAGGTAGGAGAGAATTTCATGGGATTTCTGAGAAAAGGGATGCCAACAAAGGCTCATCAACCTAAATTCAGGCAAATATTTATGACATACCTACTATGTGCACAATGCTATTCTAGGATGTATGGAGCAAAGGAAGTACTGGCCATGACTATTCATTCAGAAACCATCCTTCAGGACCTGCTACAAGCTTGGACCTGAGCTAGACACTAAGCCATCAGAGAGAAGATAGAGATCCTGCCTTCAGGGGCTCAGCGTCTACTGGGGGACAAGGAACGAATAAATCAGTTGTTCTAAGGTGCAGTGTGGAGTAAGGTGTGAGTTCTGGTCGAAGGTGTGCACAGGATGGTGATGAAGATCCCCTAGCGCAGCCTGGAGGGATCTGGAAATGCTTCTGAAGACAGATGATAGTAAGACTGTGTCTTCACGAAGGAGGAAGTGTTAACCAGGCAGAAAAGGAGATGAAGAGCGGAGTCTCTGCGAGGAGGGACGATATGTAAAAGACACGAGGAGACAAGAATCATTTGGGGAACAGCCAAAGTTCAGTCTGGCTAAAGTGCGGGTGACGTGGGGGAAGGGTGGCAGGAGGAAAGGGTGTGGAGGACAGGCATGTGGCCAAACCATCCCCATGTGCTCCGCTGAAACATTCCAGCTTTAACCTTCTGGTGCTAGGGAGCCGCTGAACAATTCAGAGCAAAATGATAGCATCTGGCTCGTTTCTCGTCCTTAAGGAACCTAAAATACAGCCCGAAACCCCACTCTAAAAATGTGGAAGTTTGCGGAGGTGGCGGTAACAAATGGGAGTCTCAGGATAGGAGAGACTGAAGGGAATGTGACCCATGCTGGAACAGCTCATGGAAAAAAGATGGCCTTGATCTGGCAGGATTTGGATGGGGGTGGAGGAAAAGCTTCTCAGGTGGGGACATAGCACACGCAAAGGTACAGCCGAGGGTCAGAGATGAGGGACGTGAGAAGCAGTCAGCGTCACTGCAGTCACGAGAGGGGCTGGATGGCAAGGAGAGGAGAGTGTGGCCACATGGATTCCACGGAGCCATGAAGACAAGAGCCGGATGCGCTGGGCGCGTGAGCTCAGGCAGGGAAAGGGGAATGGAGAGGATCCGACGTGCACACAGTGTGGTGTGGTGCACACCCTCCCTGCTGCTCACAAGAGGGAGGAAAACTGGCTCAGCCCCAAAGCCAAGGGCCACTGCTGGGTGACTCAGGTCTAAGTAAAAACTCACTTGGCTCTGGAATCGGTGCAGACAAGAAGATACTGTAGTGTCTTAGTCTCCTCCACATGCTAGGAGAGCTTGTCAATGTTTTGCCGAGTTTCCTCAATCTAGAATCACAAAAACAAGAGCCTTTGTTGGGAGAGGAAGAACATTCCCACAACTGAGATACAAGCTTAGCAGAGATCCCTGGTGAAAGCTGCCCACCTTCTGGGTTTGTGGGACAACATGAGGACTAAAATGTCTTCTGCTGCTGGGTGAGTGCCCTTTGCATGGCCAGATAAACTAGCATCCAGAGCAGTCACCAAAAACCCACACACCCTGCTCCCTGAGAAGAACATATCTGCCCATCTGGGATGCGAGGCTGTGGACCAGAGTCGAGAAGAGTCAGGAAAACCCAAGAAGACAAGTCAGAGGACAGGGCCAATAAACCCTATCAGGCAGACCAGCCAGCCACACCCGGAACTAGAATAGCAGAGGGGGGGAGATGGGAGAGGGAGGAAAGGGAAGTCGGAAAGAAAAGCAGTGAAGGGGAAGGAACAAACATAGAGAGTGAAAACAAAGAAGAGGGAAAGAGAGACTAATAAGCGTGGCCCCCTCAGGAGACACCAGAGTTTCCCTTGGACATGTGGTTCTGCTGGATTCCCCAGATCATCAGCCTCCAGACACTCCAGCCACAGACCATTTCTGCACCTAAGGTTCCTGATCATGCAAGTGTGCATCATAAAATATTCCCAGCAGCACTTCATTCCCAGATAGAACAGCATCACAAGACACTGCTGCGCGAGCACTCAGTGCTGCCTTGGCGCCCTCCTGCAAGGCCCCGTAACCCTCGATGCCTGCCAGGTCTAGGGGCTGCACTTCCAGAAGAAGGGGCTTGTCAACACTGCAGCAATTAACAAATCTTGTAAAACACCATCCAGCAGCATCTTTCCATCAGGGATACAATAAAATACAACTCAGATGCAGTGTCCAGCATACCTTTCTTTCAGCAAATAATTCACTTGTTTTTGAAAACCCGGTCAGAGCTCTTCAGATTAAATAGAAAACAGGAAAAATAAAACTTGAATTCTCTAACCCTCAAAGGAGCACTTCTGCCAGTGGAACCGTGGACTTTGCTTCTCTACAGATACGCTGGTTGTGATGAACCACAGTTTGAGAGTAGACTCACTTGCTTCAAGATGTAGAATAAAATTTCAATGTAATCGTATCATCAGAGTATAAATCCAAATACAAGT